TCCTGCTGATGAGTGATAGAAGGCAGATGCTTTCTGTAGAAACAGACCAGGGTCTGATCCATCAATCGGTTGAGAAATACTGCTATCAAAACAAGTATATGACAGAAAAACAGAGTGAAGAATAAACTGCATGTGTACAAATAAAAAAAAAAAAGATCCTCATGAGTGATTTACATTAATAGAAAGATTTCATGTTAAATCTTTTACAAGAGAAAAGAGAAGACTAATCATATTTGGGTGAATGTTCCCAACAGGATTGACTTTGATTTTCATTGAAGTGTTTATTTCCTAAAATGTGCTAAAAGAGGGGAGCTGTGTTATCATCACCAGTGTCTTCCTATTTTAGGGCTAGTAATAGAACTGAGATGTTGATACAGTGTTAGATGTTTTTTACCAACATGGAATTGGAAGGAACAGAACCGGCAATCAGAACCCATCCCTAGCATGAGACAGAAAGAGCCCTACCATGCCATAGTCTGGACCTGTGAGGTTAGATGACATAAATAATGTACAACAACAATGTAGTTATAGATTTGTAGCTATTTGATGTTTCATGCAAAATCACTATGCAGTAAGAAAAAGTGTGACTAAGTTAAGTTTCCTGTACCTTTAATACTTCTTTTGTACATGTGGAACATTTGATTCATTCTCGGGACACTGTGAATATCCTTGTAAAAGTTTATGAAACTCTAGCCAGAAGTGGCAAAAAATACCAGCTGTAGACCAAATTGCTGGATCGATTTTTCGGCTTCTATCTTCAGATGGTTCAAAAAACAAAAAGTAGGTAAATGCTGCTGTTTCAGTGCAATAAGCAAAAAGAATAATTTGTCTGCCAAGGTCTCACATCCCCATACACCACCTTGGCACCGTTCTGCTGCACATCCAGTCGTTACAGAGGAATGGTGTGGGATTGGACATTTTAAGCAGCAGACCTAAATATTAGTCAGCACTCAGTCACTTTATATTCTGTTCAGAACCTTCTCTTTAAACATACATATTCATTAGTGAATACAAACCCCATCCAACTAGAACGTCTCTGCTGGACCTACACCGGACACGCACTCGCTCCTGCTTTCTCTGTCATTACATATTTTATTACTCAGTTCATTTTGCTCATGATGGAAATTTTTTATTTATTTGACATTTGATATATCTTACTATTGATTTGCAATCAAAGTACTTCAAATGGTTTTAAATTTAGTTGTCTTTGCTGGTGGCCTTGGTCCTTTGTTGTTGTTTCGTTTTTGTTTTATTTCATATGTGGAAACACATAAATGGAAATGGTATTTTTTCACCATGCTTTTCACTGCTTTTATTTTGTATTGTTTTATTCCTAATAAGCTACTTATATCTCATTTCAAGTCCCTATTTGTGAAAGTGCGTCAAGGGCATTGTTGTTGAAACCTCTGGGATTCAGCAATAAAGTTATGTAACTTCACTAAAAAGCCAGAGAAAGTGGCCATTTTTAAGCCTTGATGTGATGCTGAATGATCACAGTCTCCAGTGTGGGTAAGCAGGAGGACATTAAAACCTGCGATCTTGGCTGGCTTTGTTACCACAGGCCTGCAGCCACATCAATACCAGAGCAATGTAGAGAAAGCCATAAACAACGTGACAATAGATCTGTGGTATCACAAAGGTGTTCATGTTTGTGTCATATACTGGACGTAATGACAACAGGTGTGATTAGGCCAATGGCCAGAGGAGAACCGGTTAAGTACTGTACTGTGTATTTGTTACTCATTGAAAGACTAAGCTTAGTTTTATCAAATTTAAATTTCTACATTTGATTCTGATGTCCTCAGTGATTGATTAAGATGTATACACAGTCACATATTGGGAGAGGAGTTGTCATTTTTTGAGTGAATCAGATGGAAAGACAAAACCTTTAAGACCCAGAGCTGTACTGTAAAACCATGTTTTTGCTGGAAGGATTATCCAAGGCATCTCATAGTAGGCTTTGTTTTTCAGTGTCCATCCAGTGTGTCTCTGTGGAAATGATTCACACACACACACACACACACACACAGACAATGAGGTGGAACCCAAGCACACACAAGCACCCATTATCATGGCGAAGCGCTCCTCCAGTTACCATTCCGAAACACCAGGAGCTTTAAAGCAACTTACAGAATCAAGACTGCACACAATCAAAAGAATGTACAAAAAGGCACATTTGATCCCAGTGCTCCTGTACTGTGAGATTCAAGTGTAAATGAGTGTTTGTAGCATGGCTGTCGTAGCTCTTAACCATCACGGGGACAACATCCCCTCTGAGCTCACTGCTCTCGCTGCTCAAGTGTGTTAGCTTAGGGCTAACACTCAGATGATAATGTCCATGAATGCTAGCTGCTGCTAGGCCTTGCTAAGCCAGGAGTCTGCATGGTCTCTAGTGTCTTCAACTGTCCTAAAAAGGCAGCATGTCTTTGAACAAGCTGTTCAGTGGTAATACAGAAGTGCTGATCCAAACCCCGTGTTGACCCCATATCCTGTTTTCTTAATCCCACCTGCACCTGAGCCTTGGAGCAAAGGTGTGATGGGGAGGGTGGTTGCTGTTGCTGGGGGATGACCGTGCTAATCATCCCCTCCGCCATACAAGTCGGCCAGCTTGTGGAAGCGTGGCCCCCAGTCGCCGAGGTAGTCATAGTCCTGGTCTCCACAGCTTGAGGAGGAGTGCAGGGAGCTGAGGGAGCCGGCGGTGGAGCCACTGCCCTCATAGTCAAACACCAGCAGGGAGTCATAGGGGGGAGCGGTGGGGTCGTTGTCTGCTGCCTTCAGGCCCTAGAAGGAAAAGCGGACGGGACAAGAAGAACAGCAGGTCATCTTTCTAGCTGTGAAATGACTACTTCAAGAGTGTCAGGGAGTGGACATTAATTTAAACTGGCAACTGTTACTGAATATTAATGGTGGACTTTTATGAACCTTGTTTGACTGAAAATAAAAGTGAAAGAGACAGGAAGGTGAGAAAAGAGGAGACTTGAAAATGAGGCAAAAACATTGAGAGAGGAGATTTCAATTTTTTTATTCAAAACAGGCTTTTTTCACCAGGATCCTGCAGCAGTTGCATAGATTAGCATAGAGCTCAACATGAAAGAGCCAGTACCACAGTCTGCTGTTGGATACTGCTGGTGATTGCACAGTGGATCAACATCAGCTTGTTCCTTGATGTTACCATGTCAGTAGCTGCTGAGGCAGGGGAGTAATAGTATTGATACAACCTGTGTTTGATATGGGATAAAGAACATGCATACTCTTACCAGGCTCATATCACTGGCTAATCCTTGGAGTTTATGTTTACCCACAGAAACAACTTCAGAATCAGAATCAATAATAAACCCCACTCACCAGGAGGAAAGTCTTTTTTTTATGTACCTAGCTATCCACCCCAACCCTCCTCTTCCTAACAGGGACTGCCTGGCTGTACATACTACCCCTCCCCCCGTTCACTTCAGCTTCCACAGAACAGGTACAGGGTTAGGTTAGGGGAATTCTTCAACTCTCCCCGTAATTGTCCGTTGACTATACGGTTTGGGATGGAGGGTCAAAGTTGAGTGCATGGGCCAAAGCTTGTCACTCTGGCTCATGTAATGGTGTGCTGCCCTGAGTCGTGTTTTCTTGTCTGGTGTGGTTTGCTTTGTTCAGTTTTTGGGTGCTGGGTTAGTTGTTGTTTCCATTTTAGGATGTTATGTTCCCATGGGGAGTTGTATGTTCCTGTTTGAATCACGTGCGCATGCATGTGCGCGTGTGCTGGGGGGCTGAAATTATGGGATCTTCGATTAAGGTACAACCTTGTTCAGTTTGGGTTGGTCAAGATTTGATTCAGGTGGCCAGGGGTTCTGGTTTACACATTGGGTCCCGAACGGTTAAGGTTAGGACCCTGGTATCGCAGATGGGTCAGAGATGTGGAATGGTTAGGGTCAGGGTGGGGATATGGGTTGGGCTTAAGTGGGGTTGGGGTGTGAGGGTTGAGATTGGGCATCAAGTTCCAGATGGTTAAGGTTAGAGCCAGGGTAATACGAACGGGTGGTTTAAGGTTTGAGGTTATGTTTAGGGCCAGAGGTGTGGAGTGGTTAGGGTAGGGGTATGGGTTGGGTTTAAGAGTGGTCAGGGTAGGAGGGTTAAGATTAGGCGTTACGTCTTTGGGGACAACTGTGTTGAAGGCGGAGCTTTAGTCAATGAAGAGTATCCTGATGTAGGAGTCTCCATTTTCCAGGTGAGAAAGGGAATAGTGGAGTGCAGCCATGATGGCATCTGAGGCGGGCTTGTTGGGCCGGCAGGCTGTCTGTGGAGCTGATGATGCTGGTGGTGGTCCTGTAGTCTGTGATGTGCTGCAGGCCTTGCCACAGCCATCTGGAGTCAGCAGTAGAATAGAAGCCATTCAGCTTCTCTCTGTACTGCCTCTTGGCCGCTGTGATGGCTTTCCTCAGTCTGTACTTCGCAGCTTTGTACTCCGTCACATCGCCTGATCTGAATGCATGAGCGAGCATGCAGCATGTGGCGCACCTGACTGTTTATCCAGGGCTTCTGGTTGGGAAACCTCCTGACTTGTATGGTGGGCACAATGTTGTCGATACAGGTACTAATGTATCCGGTCACATACTCAGCATAATCCTGTACACTGACAGAAAAGCCCTATGAGGTGGCTGCAGCTTTAAACACATCCCAGTCTGTCTGGGCGAAACAGTCCTGCAGGGTGCCCTCAGTCTCTGGGGTCCAGAGTTTAATTTGTTTGGTGACAGGGTTTGTTTGTTTCAGTCTTTGTCT